TGCAACAGCTCCCCTCCCACTTCCTCCCCATAGTTACCTCTTCCCTGTGTCCTTCCCTCCATGCACTCCTGCCCCCTGAGCTGTCTCTCTGTGCATGCACAGCCCCTTCTATTCTCCCATGATTTTTCTCTCCAAGGAGTGTATCTAGGAAAGACACAATTTCAATCTATCATGTCCTTCCCACATTCAAGACACATTCACTCTATCACATCATCCAAAGTCTTAATCCATTCCAGCATCATCTTCTAAATCATCTACATCAAGTATGGGCTAGACTCTGAACCAGTAATTCATCCCAGTAATCTGCTTCTGAAAGGTCACAGCACTGAAGATCCTACAGAACAGTTCTACTCTGCACACATGAGGTCATCATGAGCCAGAATAGACTCAAAGGCAACTAATAACAACAATATAATATTTACACATGATATCCATCCCATATATAAGTGGATATAAAAGGAAAAGGGATTGTCCAGTAAATGCAGTATATGACCCAAAAATAGGTGTGCTCTTCTTCAAACACCTGAGCATCTTCCTGCTACCAATAAAAACTAAAGATGGAGTAAATAGTGCTGGAATACCTCTATAAAGTATGTCAGGCAAATGCCCATCCCGCCAGATCACTTGGTTGAATTTCCAGGCTGCAGGTTTCTCCCTCAATCCTGTGAAAGTACAAAAATACAGGTTAAACCCCGAAAGAATCAGGGTTAGATGTATTCCAGAGTCAGGTAAAATAGTTAAATATGCTAAATCTAACACAACTCCTTCTATGGTAGATACTGAAAGATTAAATAAAATAAGTAGCAAGGAACACTAAGTCCAACTATAATGACCCATCAGTGCTAAATAATATCACAAAGATAAAAATGACTCATACAGAAATTGGACTTTGTCAAACTTAACTTCTAATTGAGGATTAAAATTTCTTTAAAATAAAAAATACAGCCTAAAATTAAATATCTTAAAATAGAAAGAAGAGTACAGAATGAATTTCACTAAAATTGTATTTTGACTCTTTATTACTAAAATAATACAATATGTATAATAAGAAATTTGCTATTTTAACCATTTTTAAATCTATAATTCAGTGGCATTAATTATATTCACAATGTAGTGAAATCATCACTACTACCCATTTCCAAAAGATTATCATCACCCCAAAAAGAAACCCAGTACCTCTTAAGTAATTATTTCCCATTCCCTCCTACTTAAGCCTCTGATAAACCATGAATAACTTTGATCTCTAAGCTTCTGCCTATTATATAATTTTATACAAGCAGGATCATACAATATTTGTACTTTTAATCTGGCATATTTCATTTAGCACAATGTTTTCATGGTTCATTCATGTACTAGCCACGTATGAGAACTTCATTATTTCTTTGTGAGTGATAGATATTCTATTGTATGTACATGACACCTTTTGCTTATCCATTCACACTTGAGGTGGTTCTAAAACAATAAATTTTTTTTCATAAAAATCCCACAGTAACACTTCCCTCAGTTTAACAATATGAATATATTAAGGTTTTAGTTTTTAATATATGAAAATATGATTTAAAAATTTCAAGGCAAAAGGTATTTAATAATGTGAAAATGAATGATAGGTACTTTTTAAATGTCATAGTGTAACCACCCCTTTAGTAGAGAGTGATACAAAAAATAAACACCCAATGTGGTTACTGCATCAATACTGGTTTGGAGACACATCATTTTCCTCTTGCAACTGGTATATTTTTTTTTCCTTGTGTATGAAATAAAACTAACGAAGACAAAAAGCTGAATTCTCGAGAGATCCGGCAAGATGGCGGACTAGGCAGAAGGATTGCACAGACCCTCTTCAACAAAGAAAAGGGAAACCAATTAACACAGACACAGAAGATAATCGTGGAACCCTGAGCCTTGAAGGCAAGGATACAGAATTGGACTAAACCCCAATTAGCAGAAGAATTTGCGTGAAAATAC